CAAATTAAGTAACATTAAGTAATTTAAATCTAAACTGCGAGTTACCTCATGAAGAGAAACCACCCGCAGCAGAAGTGAAGCAGGTATTCCTGAAGAGGGTTTTTTTTTTCTTCGAGGGCCTAATTAGAGAGACGGTAACGCTCCAGTAGCACCCCAGCTCTCCCACTGTTAGGACAAGAGAAGACTGATATAAAAATGACTTGTGTTTAAAAATAAATGTTTTACCAGACACAAAAAGTCACATCCTGTACGATTCCATTTATATTAAATAGCTAGAATAGATAAATCCCTAGAGACAGAGAGCAGATCAGTGGTTGTCAGTGGTTGAGGGGAAGGAGAAATGGGGAATAACTGCTTAACATGTATGGGGTTTTTTAATTTGGGGGGCGGTGAAAATGTTCTGGGATAGTTGCTCAACACTGTGAATGTACTAACGGCCACTATATCATTCACTTTAAAATGGCTAATTTGGGGGTGCCTGGGTGGCTCAGTGGGTTAAAGCCTCTGCTTTCAGCTTGGGTCACGATCCTAGGGTCCTGGGATTGAGCCCCACATCGGGCTCTCTGCTCAGCAGGGAGCCTGCTTCCTTCTCTCTCTCTACCTGCCTCTCTGCCTGCTGACTTGTGATCTCTCACTGTCAAATAAATAAATAAAATTTTTTAAAAAAATAAAAAATAAAATGGCTAATTTGGGGGCACCTGGTTGGCGCAGGCAGTTAAGTATCCTACTCTTGGTTTTGCCTCAGATCATGATCTCAGGGTTGTGGGATCAAGCCCCCTGAGCAGCCCCATGTCAGGCTCTGCACTGAGGGGGCAGTGTCTGCCTCAGATTCTCTCTCCCTTGCCCCTCCTGCCCATAAGCACACATGCTCTCTCTCCCAAATAATAAATAAATAAATCTTTAAAATGGCTATTATTATGCTATGTGAATTTCACCCGAATAAAAATAAATGTTTTATAATTAAATATTTTCTAACTGAAGGCCTCAATATTTCTCATTTCTCAACCATTTACCACTACTGGGAAATAAGGAGGATTTTATTCCCATTCTGCAGTGATAAGAGGGATTAAGTAGGCCACTAAGTTCTAATACTTGTCACCTTTAGGCCTTTCTTGTGAAAAGCCTCGTATTTTCCCAGAATGTCTGCAGCAGGGAAGTAATTCAAACCAGTGACCCCTGACTCGCTTGGCCCTTGACAGTTAGCAGCAGCCACCACAGCAAGAGCAGCAACTGTTTCTCCGCCTTACAGGGTGCCAGCCAGGTCATCAAAAGTCCGTGGGGCACACCTGTGTTCACTGACCTCCAAGCCCGCACCCCACACCAGACCCAAGGGACCTTGCTGCATTCTGGGCAGTGGCCAGCTGTGGTGGGGACGGCAGACAAAGACTGGATCATTTTCACTCAGTAGGAAAATATGAAGACCTTGCTCTTGCCACACTCTTTCAGGATCAAAGAAAATCGATTTTAACAGAGTAGAAGCATCTTTGGAAGAGAGGCAGTTTTTCCCTTTTGTGCTTCTAAGAAGAATATATGCTTCAACACACAGATCCAAGCCAGTCAGCTGTTAAGTGAAAAGAGAAGCCCAAGAACTTGGAAGGAATAAATACATATTGAGAAAAGAGGTAAAAAGAAGGGGCCTTGAAAAGAAACTACAAGACTGTCACAACAAATAATGGGTAGCAAATCTCTAAAAGCAGAAAGGGGCCTGCCCAGTCTTACCTGACACCTGCCCCCTCTCACCCCACACCATGCAGTCAGGGCCATGGACAAGGAAGCCTCCTAAGCCCTCAGCCAAGCAACTCTCTGAACCGCTGAGTATGTCTCACATTCTACTTCTTGACATAGCTCTAATTTTTCTGGTTTTGGCCTTCTGACCTTTTTTCCAACCACCCTTTGTCTCACCACCCAGACTTAACACTTAGCTTGAGGATTTGTTTTTCCTTGAGCAGGATCTAGAGATTCCTCTGGGAACACTGCCTTTGGTGGTTTTGTGCACATTTAACCTGACCCAGGGATGTCACCCTCATGACATCATGGAAAAGTGTTCAGTCCTGTTTTGGTGTACCCTTCCTTTTCTCAGGTGCATTCTTCAAGACTGAGACTAAAAACAAAGCTCTAATGCTGATTTCAGGCTCACAAATGGCCAGACAAACTCAGTATTAAGAAAGAATTTTTTAGGGGCACCTGGGTGGCTCAGTGGGTTGAAGCCTCTGCCTTCAGCTCAGGTCATGATCCCAGGGTCCTGGGATCGAGCCCCGCATCGGGCGGGCTCTCTGCTCAGCGGGGAGCCTGCTTCCTCCTCTCTCTCTGCCTGCCTCTCTGCCTACTTGTGATCTCTGTCTGTCAAATAAATAAATAAAATCTTAAAAAAAAAAAAAAGAAAGAATTTTTTAAATATAATGAGAAAGGAAAATACATTAAATGCTCTCAAAATCCCCTAATTCTACTGTAATATGCCAACTGACTCAGTCATATATTTTCCTATGTTGTGTAAGAAAAACCCATGTGTTCTTGTCACAAAATGTTCTACACACCACAGAAATTACAGTATTAATTTTCTGGAAAAATTCTGAAAACAGAGAAATAGCATCTGTTTCCTGTGTCTGTAATGCTATGGAATGAAATGCAAAATGGGAAGTGGGTTACGGAGGAGGCATCTATCTTCCCTTTGATAGGAATGCTGAGATAGAGCATCAATTTTGAGCTATCTTGAGGTTAAGCAGTACGGACAGGGACTGCAAGGCTGTAGTGTGCAGTTCCTGTCCTCAGCCAGAACTGTCCCTGTCACCTCCATCCTCACATCCCTGCCACAGGCGCGCACTGACCTGGCTCTTCTGCTTACTGACGGACTCTGGGCAAGTCACTTATGCTTTCTGAACCTGCTTCTCCGCTGGTATGATGGGAAGAATAACACCTATTGTTAATTATTATTATGGGTTATTAATTTTTATTATGAGTTAAAATGTGCCCCCCAAAAGGTATACTTAAGTGCTAACCCTCAGTACCTCAGAATGTGAGCTTATTTGGAAAGAAGGTATTAGTTAAGGTGAGATCATACTGGAGTAGGATCCTGAATCCAGTATACCTGTCATCCTTCTAAGAAAAGGAAAGACAGCCCTGTGAAGACACAAACACACAGGGAGAATGACATGGGAGGACAGAGGCAGAGACTGATGTGATGTGGCACCAGACCTAGGAAAGCCAAGGATTGCTGGCCACCATCAGACCTATGAAGGGGCAAGGAAGGATTCTCCCCTTTATGTCTCAGAGGGAGCATTGCCCTCTCTCCTTTTTTTTTTTTTTTTAAATTACATTCAGTTAGCCAGTGTATAGTACATCATTAGTTTTTAATGTAGTGTTAAACGATTCATTAGTTGCATAGAACACCCAGTGTCTCTCTTGATTTCAGACTCCTAGGCTCCAGATCTGTGAGACAATACATTTCTGCTATTTCAAGCCACCCACTTTGTGGTACTATGTTACAGTTGTCCTAAGAACTAACACAGTGGGGGAGCGGTAACTTATTTGGTGTGCGATAACTTATTTGGTGTGCGTGTGTGTCTGTGTGTACGTGTATGTTTTTTAAATGCAGAAGAAACACACACAGAAAAAAACCAAGTAGGCAGGAAGAAAACAAGGTAACTTTTCTTATGGATTTGAACTAAGGAAGTGACATTTTCTCTGGAGCTGACACTGCATCTCTAAACTCGCCTCTCACTACCGTCCTGTCCAGTCTCCGCTCCAGCTCATCGGCCTCCTGGCTATGACCAAAATAGCCCACCTTGTTCACTCCTTAGGGTTTCTGCTTCAGCTGCTTCCTTTGTCTAGAACATGTCCATGGGGAACTCTGACTTCCTGTCTTTCCTCAATGAAGCTGACCCTGGATGTTCCATTTAACACTGCAATGTGTACTCCTGAATCACCCGGCACCTCCAAGTCCCCTTAGCTCTTCTTTTTCTTGTTTCCATATTCTTACTGGCTTCTAATAGCCTAGTACTTTATTTATTTCTCCATTACATGCATTATTTATTATCTGTTTCCCGCAATGCTAGAACATAAGCTCCACGAGGGCCTAGATCTTCATGTTTTGCTCACTGATGGGAACAAACACCTAAAACAGTACCTGGTTCATAAGGGGTACTTGACAAAGATTCTTTAAAATCCATTATTTATTTTTAATTAACCACTTTATGAAGCTATACATGGGCACTATAAAACATTAAAAAAATTAAAAACTTCAAGTTCCCACCATCCAATAATATCTTCCAAGTTATGATAAATCAGAATGGTTTTCATCTTCTTTTAAGTGACTGCCTAAGGAATTCTGTCTTTTAAGGCAAAATGGAATGGATAACATCCCACTTACATGACTTGGTACATGGATTACATGAAATAATGTATCCAAACACTTAATATAATGCTTGCCATAACAACTCATACAGGTATTTTCTTTCCTTTGATCTTGTCTTTAACTTTCATTCTTTGCCCCATCCTCTAAAAAGTAGCAGATACTTGTAGACAAGAGAACAGTACAATGTTGTTCTTACAGGGGGTGGCGGAGGGGGAGGAAGGTCTCCTACACCTGGCACTCAAGATGGAGTCCCCAAATTCACAGTACCAGTTCTATGGCCCAAATGCACCATGAGACACAAGGCCACTAACTATTCCACAGAATTTTATAATAGCAACAAAAGAATAAACAGTGATAATTACATTTTATATTACATCCTCCCATTTGCAAAAGCTTTTCATATTAATTTTTTTTATACAGATGAAAGAAAGGGGCTCAGAGAATTTAAGTGATGTGGCCAAGTTTATACAGTTGCTAAGAACTGAGAATTAAATCTAGAATTAGAAGGTCCTCAGCAACAAGGATCTTTTAACTTGACAATGAAACGCATACTATCCATTTCTAGCATCCCACTCACAATAAATAAAATGTTCTTTAGTACTTTCTCCATAAGCTACTTCCTTCCCCATCCTCTAAACAAATGACTTACCTATCTTAACAGCCACACGTCCTTTCCTTGCTGGGTAACTCTTCACCAAAATTTTCTTCTTGTAAGGAGATCAGTGGTTAAGTGTGCCAGGAAATGGAGTACATTGCTGAGAAAACCTGGGAATCACTGCTCTTGTGAACTGTTGAGAAAAAAACAAAACATCAAGAGCTTTATATCTTCATTTCTCCTGGGAAGGCTTCAAAATGAATCTCTTTTTCATTCCAGCAAAACTCGGTACAAAGGAGTGTTTTTATTTTTTTCCTGAGGTTTTAAATTAGGTTTCATAAAATTAAAGTTCCTTAGCCTAAATTTATTTTAGTGCCTTAAAAGCATTTATTTTAAATTGTTTCTACATTTGAAGGGACTGAAAGTATCCTCTCCATGAATACCAAGGCGCCCAATCCTTCTTACATACAGAATTAATCATATTTATCTTTTTAAATTTTATTTTTTTCAGTGTTCCAAAATTCATTGTTTAGGGGCGCGTGGGTGGCTTAGTGGGTTAAGCCTCTGCCTTCGGCTCAGGTCATGATCCCAGGGTCCTGGGATCGAGCCCCGCATCGGGCTCTCTGCTCAGCAGCGAGCCTGCTTCCTCCTCTCTCTCTGCCTAATTGTGATCTGTCAAATAAATAAATATTTTTTAAAAAAATTCATTGTTTATGCACCACACCCAGTGCTCCATGGTAGTTTACCCAAAATTCAAGGAGCTAGAAGATACTAATTCAACCTAGCAGAGAATTAAAAGCAGTAATCATTAGATTGTTCCCTCCCCCAGAGGTAGCAAAGGCACCTTTTTATTCAAATACCAATCACAGAGTTAATTAGGTTAATGGGCTCCCTGTGGGTAGGGCATGCACAATCTCTTAAAAACATGCCAGAATGAAAACCGTCACCCGGTGACCATAGAGTTTAACTGAAATGGATGTGGGAAATGTCCAGGAGACCCCCTGATTCAGATATGCCTTTTGCATAGCTAGGAAAAGAAGACAAAGTTCTGGGGCAATGATTCAGAAAGAAATCTCTTCAAATCTCGGGATGACAATGGCTGTCTAGGCCTGAGGAGGAGGTCAGTGTATGGGCTTAGAGAAGGATTCCCAGCTCTGGCTACAAGGGGCTAGCTTGTATCAGACCAACTTCCCATCAAACACAACTAGAAAACCTGGATAAGTATTTAATAACCTGTTTAAAGGCATTAGAGTGCTACCAAGGTAGCCAGGACACGAGATGCCAAGATCTTAGAAGAAAAACAAAACTGACACAAATCATTATATTGTTTTTCCTTTCAAGCCACCTACTGATCTTGGGGCGCCTGGGTGGCTCAGTTGGTTAAGTGTCCCCAACTCTTGATTTCTGCTCAGGTCATGATCTCAGAGTTGTGAGATCAAGCTGCACTGGGCTCCATGCAAAGTGTGGAGCCGGCTTAAGATTCTCTTTCTTCCTCCGCCCTTTCCTTCCCCTCTCTCGCTCAAAAAAAAAAAAAAAAGACATCTATTGATGTTTAAGAGGCACAGGGCAAAACTGCTGAGAAGCCAAAGCAGAAAGCAGAAGCTTAGAAGCACATGAAGTGAGGAGACCAAAAAATACCAGAGCTGATTATCAAATCAGTTTGGTACCTCATTGGATTAAGAAGGTCTGCCCTACTATAACTGCCTATCAGAAGCATAAGCAATCTCCATGGAGGAAGATTCATCTACAGTATCTGTGATTCTTTGTACGTAATGTCTTGCATTCAATCAACAATACCAGGCATGCCAGGGCATCTATTCAAGAAACAGACAATGAAAACAGGACCCAGAAGTGACGAGTCATAGAATATGGTCTTTAAAATAATTGCAATGTGTATGCTTGAAATTATAAAGATTATAAAATATTTTAACACATATCTCTCAGTAAGTCACAGAACAAGCAAAAAAAAAAGAAGACGACAAAGAAAAAGGATACATAAGATTTCAGTAACACAATTAACAAACTCAGCCTTAGTAACCTATGTGGAAAAGGTTGTAACCAACCACTGTGACTACATATTCTTTTAAGATACACATGAAACATTTACAGAAATTAACCACATGTGAGTCATAAAGTAAGTTTCAAGAAATTTCAACAAATAGAAACCATGGAGTACTTTTTTGAACTTACTATTCTGAAATAATGTAGATTAGCAGGAAATAGCAAAAAGTAACTTTTTTAAAGCAAAATGTAATTTATATACGGTAAAATAAGCTACTTTTAAGTATACAATTTGATACATTTTGATAAAGGAATCCAATTGTGTAACCACCAACAAAATAAAAATATAGAGCATCTCCATTACTCCAGGAAGTTCCCCCAAGCCCATTTTTGTGAAGTGCCACAACCCAAAAGCAATCACTGTTCTCATTTCTACATTTCTATTACCATGGATTAGTTCTGAACTTCATACATATGGGCTTATATAGAATGTAATCTTTTGTATGAAAACAGCACAACTTATAATATATTCTCCTGATGAATGGGCATTTGGTTTCCATTTGAGAGCTATTATGAATAACACTGCTATAAACATTCTTGTACAAACCTTTCTATGAACATATATTTCCATTTCTCTTGGATAAGCACCTAGGAGTGGAACTGCTAGGTCACAGAGCTGATGAATGTTTAACTTTATAAGAAACTGCCAAACATTTTTCCAAAATAGATGTATCATTCTATACTCCCATCAGTAACACATAGGAGCTCCAGTTTACACAGCCTCATCGACATTTGGTATTGGCAGACTTTCAATTTGAGCCATTCTAGTGTGAGGTTTTGATTTGCAACTCCCTGGTGACTAATAGTTGTAGCTTTTTAAACATCTTCTTTTATGCAGGATCTGTTGTAGGACTTTGGTCTATTTTTTTAAATTGTAGTTCTTACATTATTGATTTATAGGAGTTCTTTTTATATTCTGATACCAGTCCTTTGCAGATACACATATTACATATATTTTCTCCCAGTCTGTGGTTTTCCTTTACAATTTCTGTCTTTTTGATGAATAGAAATTTGTAATGTTGATGAACTCCAATTTATCATTTTTTCTTTATGTTTAGTGCTTTCAGTGTCCTTCAACAATCTTTGCTTAAAGTCTACTTAAAAGCCTAAAAAACATTCTCCAGGAGTTCTGCAGTTTTAGCTTTATGATCTACCTCAAACTGATTTTTATTTGTGGCATAAGGCAAAGGCAAGAGGTTTCTTTTCCTCCCACTTACTCTGGTAACATTTGTTGAAATGACCTTCTCTCCCTAATTGAACTGTCATAGCCCCTCATCAATTAATTGACATACAGTGCAGTATGTTCTCAGTTAAGCTAGAAATCAATATATAAGTGATAACCAGAGTCCTCAAGTTTTTGACAATTAAGCAGTACACATCTAAACAACCAATGGGTCAGAGAAGAAATCACAGTGGTAATTAGAAAAAATTTTTGACCTAAGTAATACTGAAATGATAAATAAAAAAATGGTGAAATGTAGCTATAGTTATATTTTAAAAGTTTAGAAAGCAATTATTTATATATCTATCTCAAGAAATTCAAGAAAGACCATAGAGGTGTGCCTGGGTGGCTCAGTGGGTTAAAACCGCTGCCTTCGGCCTGGGTCATCATCCCACCGTCTTGGGATGGAGCCCCACATCTGGCTCTCTGCTCCGCAGGGAGCCTGCTTCCTCCTCTCTCTCTGCCTGCCTCTCTGCCTACTTGTGATCTCTGTCAAATAAATAAATAAAACCTTAAAAAAAAAATAAAGAACATAGATAAATCCAAAGAAAGAAAGAGGAAGTAAATAATAAAAAATAAGAGCAGAAATCAATGAACTTTAGAATAAAAAAAGTCATCAAATGCAAAAAGTTGGTTCTTTGAAAAAGATTAGTAATACTAATAAATCCTTCAGCAAGCTCAAGGGCCAAAGCTGCTCCTTCTCAACTCTATTACCTAAGAGTCTTCTTCCCACAATGTTATTTCAGACAAAGTCTCCTCAGTTCCTCTGTTGTTCCCAAAGACAAGCACAGGGTCTATTTTGCTCATGAGAGTTTTGCTTTTATATTTTACAGAGAAGTGACTACAAAATAAAGAAATAAACAGGGGGACACTGCAAAGTTCCCAGAATCTCAAATATGAGCTCTTTGCCAGCACCACTATGAGGTCAAAACTATACAGACCTGATATCTAATAAGACAGCTGTCCCCAAGATCTGAAACTATCAATAAAACTATTTAAAATACTGATTTACATCCACTATTATCAGGAGTGAACTACATTCTTAGTGCATAGTCTGCCTTAAAATGGCAATTAACAACACAACAAGGCCAGTGTGATTAGCAAGACATTTTTTTTTTAAAGATTTTGGTTTTTTATTTATTTGACAGACAGAGATCACAAGTAGGCGGAGAGGCAGGCAGAGAGAGAGAGGGAAGCAGGCTCCCCGTTGAGCAGAGAGCCCGATGTGGGGCTCGATCCCAGGACCCTGGAACACGACCTGAGCTGAAGGCAGAGGCTTTAACCTACTGAGCCACCCAGGCGCCCCTAGCAAGACATTTTAAAATTAAGTCTCCAGCCCTATGACCCAACAGTTGCATTACGGGGTATTTACCCAAAAGATAACAAAAATACTGATTCAAAGAGGCACATGCACCCCGGTGTTTACAGAGGCATTATTAACAATAGACAAATTATGGAAAAAGCCCAAATGTCCATCGACTGATGAATGCACAAAGAGATGGTGTGTGTACACACACACACACACACACACACACACACACAAGAATATTACTCAGCCACCAAAAAGAATGAAATCTTGCCATTTGCAATGACATGGTTGGAGCTAGAGATAGTATGCTAAGTGAAATGACTCATCAGACAAAGACACATATTATACGATTTCACTCATAAGTGCAATTTAAGAAACAAAACAGATGAACAAAAACAAAGGGGGAAAAAGGGGAAGCAAACCATAAGAGACTCTTAACTATAGAGAAAAAGATGAGGGTTGTCGGAGGGAGGTGGGCAGGGGACGGGCTAAATGCCTGATGGGGATTAAGGAGGGTACTTGTGACGACCCCTGGGTGATGTACGGAAGTGATAAATCACTAAACTCTATACCTGCAGTCAGTATTACTCTACATGTTATC